TAAAAACTGAAAACGCCCATGCTTATTAACGACGTGTCAACTTTAAGCCAACATAGTTTTTGTTTTTAAACATTTTTTTAATTGTTTGAAGTCATTAAGATTCTAAGAGGCCAGTATTCAAATTCTAAAAAAAGGTTTTATTGTAATTCTATCAGTGTCAGTTCTGTCAGTGTGACCTAGAGAATATTACGATGCGCCGATGATACCGTGTAACAAATACCACTAGCGCCATCTAGAATTTAAAAAATAAGTATATATATATATATATATATATATATATATATATATATACATTTAAAACATTGCTATGTGCTCTTAAACATGGGGACTAAACTGGACCAGATTTAGTCGCCCCCAGTTCGAGACTTTGTTCAACAAAGTTTCAGACACAAGTTTGTCCCGATATTCTGCGACGTTTTCCCGAAAAATATTGGCACGGACTGTGTATAAAGCATCATAAAGCGTCCGCATAGCAATGAATGTTACTGATTTGAAAGATGCCATTGATATGCAGAAGAAACAGCGTTGGTGATAGCACGCAGCCTTGTGGAACACCAGCGTTAATGGGTTTGTAATCGGAGCATGCACCGTCTACTACGACCTTGATGCTCCGATCAGCAAGAATCAGGTGATTCAATTGAACAATTTCTCGAGAAGCCCATTAGAAGGAAGCTTCGTAAGAAGCGCTTTGTGCCAAACCCGATCGCAGGCCTTCGCGTCCATGTCCAAACTAACGGCCAGTGGACTTTACTGCCTCCGCCCACTTATGAGTTAGGTAACCCCGAAGATCACCAGCCGAGCGACCGCGACGGAAACCGTACTGGCGGTCACTAATCAGCTGGTGATCTTCAGGTACCGCATGAGCTGGCTGTTAATAATGGATTCGACTATTTTAGAGAACAAGGTGGTGATGGCGATAGGCCTATAGTTGGACGGATCAAAGCGGTTACCTTTTTAGGGATCGTGTGCACGAGGGCTGACTTCCATGATTTCGGGACTACGCCGAAGGAGTAAGACCGTAAAAGACGCTTTAAAACCGGTGCCAACTCCGGAGCAACGCCTTCAGCAGAATAGGAGGGACGCCATCCGGCCCACTCGACTTGTTGACGTCCAGGGAGAGGAGTGCTCTGCGCACTGAGCGTTGGGTAAACAGGACATCCTGCATGGAGCCCCACTTCACGGGATGGTCGGCGGTGTGTTCCCCCCGTCATCAAGAGTCGAGTTGGACGCAAAGAGAGAGCCCAGCAGATCGGCTTTGTCCTTTGCGGCATGGGTCAGTGAGTCGTCTTCCCTGTGCAGAGATGGGAGAGATGGCTGACAGAAGTTCCCTTGGACAGCCTTGGCGAGAGACCAGAATGCACGTATTCCCGAAGGAAGACGAACTATTTTCTCGCCAATTCTGCCGATGTGCTCCGACTTTCCCTTGACAATGACACTTTTGAAGGACTTGGAGGCATAATTGAACTTCTTTTTAAGGGCGCTGGTATTTGCATACTGAGTCGTTGATGAGCGAGCCCAGGCCTGGTAGCACTCCTGCTATGACATAGTGCAATTTTGCATGCCAAACCAAGGGTGGGTCCTACCTCCGATAGGTACCACAGGTGATGGAATAACAAGTTCCATTCCCTGTAGCACCAAATCAGCGACAGAATCAGCAACAACGCTGGGATCATCCGGCGAGAAGCAAACCCGCCCTCAAGGGTAGGGTGCAAAAAAAACCGCGAGCGTGAGTGGCACCGTACTCCGGATCAGACAATGGTCCGAGGAGCCAAGAGGGGTATCGACGGAGACCTGATATCCGTCCGAATGAGAGATCAGCAGAAGGTCCAACAGGGAAGGTACATGATCTTCCACATCTATGATCCGCATAGGCGAGGTAACCAGTTGTGTCAGACCATATGCCAAAGCAAAATCATAAACAGATCTACCCGCATGATCGGTTAAAAGAGAACCAAGCCATTCAGCGTGGTGGGCGTTAAAATCTCCAAGTATCACGATCTCTACGGATGGTATCTGTTGTAGCACGGAGTCTGTAGCCATCTGAACGTAGTCGATGAGTCGGTCTGTTTCGGCATTACCGCTATGGGACCTATAGAAGCCGCCGTAGACGCGGGGATGGTTGTTGCTGTCTACGCGCAGCCATAAGATGGACAGGTCCGTATCTTCAAGGCTGCCGAGGCGTCAAACACATACAACTCTCTGAGATACACGCAAACTCCAGTCCGGGGCACAAAAGGGTGTTCTAATTTGTGCCCCGAGTAGGAGAGATACGAAGCATCAGCCGGAGAGGACACCTGTGTCTCGGTTAGAAAGAGCAAGGCCGGCTTCGCCGTTTCCAGATGGTAGTGGACGGCGTAAAGGTTTGAATTTAGTCCCCTGATATCGCAGAAACCCACGGATAGCGTGGCAGATGGCGCCTTTGACTTATTGTTTCGTTTGCCCCGAGCAGGTTTAGTCTCGAGCGGAATTTTGCCCCACAGAATACGCGGGGGAGCCTGAGCACCCATGCTCAGGAGTGGAGTAGCTAGGTCGTGGATGCTTAGCGAGGGATACTCCAGGGGTGCTGGAACCCTCCTGGTGTAAATACAAGACGCATTTAATTCCGCTAAAATGTTGATGGGGGGGATTGGGCCTCCGGCCACCTGCACTCACCAGACGAAACGCAGAAGCAAAGCCTCTACTTCACGCTGGTCGTCTGTGAGGTCGTGGTACAAACCTGGTTTGAGCCGGCCCATGCATGCAACAGCAAAAGGCTGCCGCATGGCTCTACCACTGTCCAAAAGTTTGAATGTTTTAAGCACTGATAAAACGTATCAGTAATAGGTAAGATAAGGGCAGTATTATATACTTAAGTTTGATCGTCTTAAGTTGTCCTTGATAGGAAGCGCAAAATCCGTGTCTCATAAGTTCGTTGTGGTAGGGACTTGGTAGGGCGGCCGGTGAAAAGCCAGCTGAAAGAAGAAGCGCGAACGCAGTTTCCCTTTGTTGGTTGTTACGAGTATGAACCAAGTCAAGGCCAGCATCGTCGGAGGAAGAGGACTATCCGACAATAAACGTATAATATGTAAAACAGAAATATAGGCAAATGGTTAAGAAAAATTAATTGTAAAAAATCTCAAATATTGTTCTTTTTATCTTTTAAATTCAAACCATGTGGTAATGCATTATTTTAACTGATTTCACATCGCACGCACACATTCGTAAGGATCAATCGGTAGGCAAGAACCGTTAATGTCACAATCACATTCAATTTGGAATAATTTCAAATAAAAATATTATTTACTTATATTTTTCAAAAACTGCAATAACAGTAACATCATTATTTTTATTTGAACTTAAGTTTAAAATTTGGCTACTCTTTAATAAATAACCTTCCATACAGGGTTATTTTGCAATTACCAGCTAAATTTGCAGAGAAGGTTCAAAAGAAGTAATATATGTGAAGAAAAAAAACGACGGGTTGCACTCTGGGAGTGCCGGCAGAAGTGAAAACTTGAATATTAACATAGTGCATTTTTAAAATTTTAGAATGGTTAGGGAATAATTTTGCACGAATTGCTTTAATTATCAGTATAAAAGTACTATCATTTATTTGGTAGAATACAATATTTATTTATTGCGCTATCGTACACAACTAAACGACACAGCAGGCGCAGGCAAAAATTTTCGCCGCGCCGTAGAAAGAGGGGTATACTTCCTCTCCTACGCCGCGCCGGCTGTCTCTCTCTCCATCCGTCTTACGCATTTTCGATCAGGGTCACGTGTCCTGACGCGAGTTTAACATTTTTTACCCATTACAAAAAGTGTACAATGCCGCTAAAGAAGGTTTCACTTCAAAATTAATTAAAAAATCGTGCTATTTTTGCATAAAGAATGAGGCCCATTGATCCATGACCGTTCGGCAATCTTTGGAAGCCCATGGCGCAGAAGCAACCAGTTCGGTTTTTCTCGTCACATCAATTTATACTATCGCATCAATCTACTTTAGGTATCAATATTATATATTGGGACTACTTCAGTAATTATATAATAATAAATAGTTTATTCCAATTTTTTAAATACGTTATAATAAGGACTTTTGTCACTTATGTTGTTGATAAGCAAAAATATATATTTTTATTTTATTTATTATGACGATCCTTACAGTATAAAAGAAAAACTGGAATCATAATTCATAACATATAGTTATTATCTTAAGCATAAGTAGTAAGCTTGTCACTAAGAAAGTAAACAGTAGACAAAAACTTAAGAAACTAAAACATGAATTCAATCATAAGGAGCGCGCATGTAAGAGTGGTTAATGCCCCTAAATCACATTCAATTTGGGATAATTTCAAATAAAAGTCGCCTATAAAAGCCTTATATATATTTTTTTAAATGTAAAATTGGTTTATAATAATTCATTTATTTGAACTTCAATGTAAAATTTGGCTACTCTTTTAAAATAACCCTGTATATCCAGGTTCAGTACATTCACACATGTAGTTATTCTGAGCAGGATTTAAGCCTGCAACCCGAAGTGCACTTCTAAGTCATCCAGTCCTAGCCAATATAATAACTACCAGACCTGGAATCTGGAGATTCAACACAATCATACCAGGCATCTGCTCACTCTTCAAGCCACCTGCTAAGAATGGTGATACCAACAGGCTGAAGATAGAGATGAAAAATAAATATTTTTACTTTTAAATAATACAGAATAAGAAATCATTGAATACTTTTACAACATCATCGTAATCATTATTATATCTCTTCACAAGTCTATTATTAAATATAAGGCTCCCCGAACCCCAAATAGTACCATTTACTTCCTGCATGTCTTATCAGGTATCCATCTAGTGGAGGGTGACAAAGTTTTACTTGCTGGTACAAGGATGCCATTTGAGAACCCTTTATCCCATTCATTTTATGTTCTCTGAGAGCCATGTCAGCTTAATGATTTGTCATGCTATGTCAATTTATATATATACATAAAATATATGAAATTAAAATATTCATACCTGGATTTAACTTCATAAATGCTTCCATCCCCAAAACCATAGACCCTAGACTTTGCATTAGCAGGGTGAAGTATGAGTATGACTTCGCTTCTATCAACTTCTGCATGCTGAGCCTCACAAAGTTTATCTTCTCAGGATCCACCTTAACATTGAATTGATTTTGTACTTTATCAAGTATTGTTTTTGGCTCTGCTGTTTCAACTGTATAAATGTAGATGCTTGAGTCCGGATATCTGAGTACAAAGCAGACATGTTCATAAAAATTGAACCAACTAACATGTATAATTTCTTTTTACTAAAGAGAAATCAAACTAAAACTACAAAAGCTATTAACATGGAACAATTGAAAATATAAAAACATCAGTTCCAACCTACAATATCTTTTTAATAGGCTGTAACGGTCACTGTAATTAAAAATGTAAATACATTCTGCAGAGGGTAAAAACTGTTTTCGTATATTGTAAATTAGGCAATCATTGTTTTGATGTGAATTGCCTTTTATGAACAAATGTTTTGAACATATCAACAAAATGCTTGTGATAATTTAGTTTCATACTAATTTTCAATTTCAAATATTAATTTGTTACATCCCAAAATCCAGTAATAGGTGTAAAGGTATTTATCCTCAAAAATGTTAAGACAGTATTTACAGTAGCCATTGCTGGGCACAGGCCTTCTCTAATTTCTGAGAGGGTTTCAAGGCAAGGAAATGACCGCCATGCTGCCCCAATGCATGTTGGCAAACTTCACATGTCTTGAAATATTTTTTTTCTTATTTCTCAGACATGCAGGTTTCCTCACAATATTTTTCTTCACCGCAAGGCATGTTGTAAATCAGTCCTTAAAATTGCAATTAACAATTTAAATAGTGCCAGTGAGGATAAAACCCGATTATTAAGATATGTCAAATTAGATGCTTACCGGGTCAATATAGCTTTAATTGCTACCCATAGTACTCTTTCCCCACCTCCACCAGAATTGCAGTATGGATGGAAAAAGGCCACATTTGCTCCATCTCTTTGCCGCCTTTGTAGTTTCCTTTCTTTTATTCTCATATACCATGAAGCGAATATAAATGCTAATGGAATCACAACGAAAGCGGAGAAGATGAGAAATCCTATAATCATTAATGGGAGGATGACTAGTAACCTGTAAATCAAAGAAATTAAAGGTCTATAACCAAATATAGAATTTAGATAGCGCAATGATGCACTATTGTTTCTTTCTATAGTCGATTAGCAGACCTAACCTACAATCATTGTTTTACCTGTATTAAATAGTTATTTTGGGCTTAAACAAATAAGAAAATAGTACGTCTTAATAATATTTGATCAATTATAGTATAATATAAATTGAATATAGAAAACTTGAAACAACTTACGTTAAACACATACAAAACATGATGATATATTTAAGTATCTGAATTCAATAGGAAGGTGAAATCAAGATAATTATAATAATAATAGATATTTAGGCATATATCTCTTCACATTATTCATAAGATTAATTTTAATTTTTTAACATTTAAAGTAATCAACATCCCATGTAAACACTAATCATAATCAGTAATCACTTCAGATGATGATATATATATATATACAGTAATCAGCACAGAGTATAATTGTATAAACTGAGTAATCAGTAATCTATGATTCTGTCAGTGTCAAGTGTAAAGTAAGGATGTTCGATGGCTATCGATGTTAAAAATTAAAATATCGATGTGTTAACATCGATGTTGCCACATGTCAAACATCGAAACATGGATGTCAATGAACCAATAATCGATTAATAATGTATTTATTTATTTTCCACTATACAATTATCTTTACAGGTTTATCACCTAATGCGATAATGTAGACAACTATTTTACCAATTCCAACTACATAGTTACAAGCTAATAATTATCGATTACAGACATGTACTTATTGCTATTTCAAACACGTAACTATATCACATAAGGACCATAACTAATTTCAAACAGAGCTCTTACTATGAACCCACCCAGAGTACAACAAAATATATCTATGTCTTCTGCTATACGGTTGAGGATACGGAGGGCTCGCGTAAAGGGCGCTTCAGTCACCAGCTTAGTGTGGCCGCGCGGCACAGCTATCAGCTGGGGCCGCCGCCGCCGCCACACGTATCTGTCCGGAACACATATGCGCACTTGTTGCAATACGTCTGGATTGTGAATCTTTCCCCTCATCACCTTAAAGATATATGAAACAATCGCTAAATTCCTCCTAACCTTTAGCTCATTGTATCCTACCATACCTAAGGTGAATAAGGTAGGATACTTATTTGGGTAAAATGGGTATACTCCATACATTTTTTGATATAAATATCTAATAAATATATTCTGCACTCTCTCCAACATGATACTATACTTAGTCTCATGTGGAGACCAGATGACCGCGTTGAATTCTAATTGGCTCCTCACTAAAGAATTATCTAATGCAATAACTGTCTTTATATTAGTGAAATCCCTAGCTATCCGTAGTACGAATCCCAAATTTCTGTAGGCTTTCTTACAGATTTTGGTTATATGCTCTCCAAATTCTAGTTTAAAGGAGAAATTAACCCCTAGATCTTTGACTTTTGACACTTTCGCTATTGGTGCCACGTTAACCTGGTATTGGTACGTAACTGGAGATAGTACACGGCTGAAGGTCATAGTTATGCACTTCGTGATGTTAAATTGTAAGTTATTATGTTGGCTCCAGGCTACCACCCTATCTATATCTTGTTGTAACTTTTGGCAATCCCTCTGTTCCTCACAGCAATTACCTTAGGGGGTTCGTGACAGTAAAAACTGTGGATTAAATTACCAAAATTAACACTTTAATTACCGAACACCAATTAAAACTTAAAACACCCTATATATATATATATTTATATATATATATATATATATAATTAATAACACTTAACACTTCAATTTATTCAACAGTATATATTTCAGAGTTCACTTTATTTCGCTCCGAAGTCTTCACTTGAATCACCAATTCAATACTGCCTCGGTTGCAGTCCTTAACGCCTTTATATAGGATTTTTTCTACTGACACATCCAGAATGCTCGAGCTCGAGCACATACCGGTCCCGATCGACTAGGTGTAGAAAGTTCTCTCCCAGTTCCACCACTCGATACTAGATGGCGCTAGTGGGAAAGTTCTAGCATGGAATTCCCTAGAAAATTCTCCTTTTATTAATATTTAATTTTAAATTATTTGTATATAAATATATATCTCATATTTACGGTCATACCGTACTACAGAAATTATTATATATACTTAAGCATTAGCAGTGGCTATTGTTTAATGCGGCGGTCAGTGCAAGGGCGACTTAACAACAGCAAACCGGTTCACCGCTGGCCGCCCTTGCTTCGATGGTTCGCGCCGCGCCACCAGTACGTTTACGTATGCCATACTGTTCGTTTGTTTACTGTTTACTCATGATAAGAAATTGCTATTATAATTAATTCGTTCGCTTGATACTCTTAGTTCTTGTGCTATCTTTCTATATATGGCTATCACTCTATTCTCCTTCTGTGTGTTGTAAAAGACTTGTAATTTGTGTAAATTATAATTATTTAAACTGAAAGACTATTGAATTTTATTTTACGTACACAAGCAGCATAACAAATATTAAATTGAACTATAAAGTGGTGACCCCGTAAAAGTGCACAATATAAATATGAGAGAGAAACAAAAGACCGCCGAACAAAATCTCGCTTCATCATCCGATGTTTGTCGGGTCGGTGTTCGTATACCGCCATTTTGGCCGGAAAAACCAGCAATTTGATTCGCGCAAATCGAAGGACAGTTTGCGATTTCGAATATAACAGCAGTAGCGATGAAATTCCATTACATTGTTAGTCAACTCGAACCGCAATATGCATCAGAGGTCGAAGATATAATTATCTCCCCTCCGAATACAAATAAGTACGAAAAACTAAAAACAGAACTAATCAAACGGCTGTCGGCGTCTAGAGACAGTAAAGTAAAACAACTTCTAATGCTTGAAGAGCTAGGCGATAGAAAACCTTCACAATTCCTACGGCACTTACATTTGTCTAGACCAGGCATATCTGACGACTTTCTTCGAACTATATGGATGAGTCGATTACCAAACAGCACGCAAACAATAATAGTGTCACCAACGACCACTTCTCTTGAGGCACTAGCAGAGCTAGCCGATAAGATTCACGACGTTGTTTCTCCATATCCACATCCACAAGTAGCGTCTACATCAAGCCATGCACCAGAGGACAGAGTACAGAAGCTGGAGGTCAAATAGCTGAGCTCACCAGATAAGTGAACACCTTAACGACTCAACTAAACAAGAGACGTCCTAGATTACGAAGCAGAAGCCGCCCGAGAAGCAACACCAGGTTGCCTTCTAGTCACAGGAGGTTCCCTATGTGCTGGTATCACAATAAAAATGGCGATCGTTCAAGTAAGTACATTAAACCATGCGATTATACTCAGTCGGGAAATGTGCAAGGCAATCGGTAACGGCAACTTACGATTGCCCAAGTACCAATCGTTACTGACCTCAACAGGAAGATGCAGTTTCTCGTTGATACAGCAGTGATCTCTGTTTTTCCTCGAGCGGCAATGAAAGAGAGTAGGCATAAGACTAATTATCAACTAAGAGCAGCAAATGGTTCGATAATAAATAGTTATGGGTATGTTCATTTAATGTTAAATTTAGGCTTGCGCCGTGACTTTACTTGGCAATTTGTTGTAGTAGATGTTACAAAAGCAATTATAGGTGTAGATTTTTTGTCATTTTACAATTTGGTTGTCGATTGTAGAAATCAGCGCGTCATAGACAGTGTCACTACACTCTCCACCACTTTGCCTGCTAATTTAAATATATTTTCTGTTAAGATTGCTACTGGTGGATTGCTTGCTGTCTTAAAAGAGTTTCCTGATATTACACGCCCATCGGGGGGTTCACCATGTGCCTAAGCACAATACAGTGCATCACATTCGGACCACTCCGTGCCCGCCAGTAGCTAATACACCTAGGCGACTATCGCCTGATAAATTAAAGATTGCAAAAGAGGAGTTTGCAGCAATGTTAAAGGTTGGTATAGGTAGGCCTTCAGAATCACCATAGTCATCACCATGAAGCGATTTTTACAAAAACAACATAGTAACTTTCATTTTTCGTAATTTTTTGTTACTGGTAACTTCTTGTTCGTTTTCAAATAGGCTTTTCAATGCATTCATCCGTTTTTAACAAAAGCTACTCAACTAAGAGAAATCCCTTGTTAAACATTTGGTGATTTTACAAAAACTACATATGTGCAATAATATTTGGCAAAAACAACATAACTGTTTTCTCTGTCTACGGTTACAGTTGTGTAGTTTTTGTAAAAAAAAAGTCGTCAAATCTGTCACTGTCAGTGTAGTGTATCAGTTGGCGGCTAGAGATGAGTCGTACTAGGTAAATTTCGTACTAGGTGCACCTAGTCCAAATCCGTATAAATACTCGATCCAAATACCTGTTCCACCTAGTCCATAAAGTGTCAAGTACGCATAAAGTTTAGTATTGTTGGAATAGGAATAGGATACGCTATAGTTTCAAGTACCATATTTTACGTGCGTACTGCTGAAACGTGTGTAATAATGAATTCATACATCTTCCCTTCATACTTTACAAAATTATTATAATTATTCTCGTAACTAAATTACGAGAATTAAGGTTATATGAGAAATAAATTAAGATAATTTACTTCAAATTACTTTAAATACTACTTAGTAGTACTTCATATTTGGTAAAATTTGTTTTAAAAGATGTTTGTTTATCTTTAATTTATTTGAAAAACTCTAGAATGGGAGTACTCACCTATTGATTTTGTATGTCTTAATTTTAAGCTGCTATGTTTTTTTTTACTATTGCAATAATTCTATAATTGGTTGATGCAGTTCATGCTAATGACGGAAGGGAGAATTTAAAGTGGATTATTTTCATTTATCTCTCATATAATCTTAATAGTAATGAGCCTAATTATAATATTTTTTTAGAATATTGTTTGCATAATTCTTATAAATAACATTAAAAAAGAATTGTTCTGAAAAATAAAAAGTGAGTTTGTCAGTTCCGGCGCACGACTGAAGTTTACTCCTTACGAACGATTATAAAATATATAGATTAGTAAATGTGAGTAAATGATCGCATTTTTATACTACTGAAAACATGCATGACACATTTACTTATATTAATTATTTAATGTATATTCATCAAAATATATTACATAATCATCGAAACGTAAATTGTTTACGCTTCCAATACTATGTTATGTAGTCACGGAAACATGAAAACAGCGTCTACCGAGATCACATTCGCATGAGTCCGTACCGTATTTGACAATAGACACTCGCCTGCCTTGT